GGGGTGTTAAACATGCTTTTCACACTGAATTCATTTATCGGTCATTATAATAGAATGGTCAGAAGGATATGAGGTTGTGCTAAAGAACATAGACTGTATATTATAATATTTGTTCATATAATATTTGTATTATCAAATTACCTAGTATATGGAAATCCTCCAATATGCTCAAGAACATAACTTTTGCTAATTCTTTTAAACTGTTTTTAAAGGCTCCGTTCTTAAAAGAACTTTATTTAGCAAATACTATGTAATTTTTGGGCCAATATTGCAATTTATGTTCGTAACAATTATTCATCTGTGCTAAAATAAGCTTTATTGGTCTGTAATCATTCTTTTTTTTATGCCGATCATGAAAATGTAATAAAATAACGTCAATGTGAAGAAATGTCACTGTTTTCTAAAAACCAGAAGCGTTAAAGATTTAAAAAATTAAATATTTTAATAGTTACTGTAACAGAGCAAGGTTTGAATAACATGCTCAAATTCATTGATTTTAATGATATTCATCTAAGTGTAAAAACCTCGCAAGATTTGCGATACACTTTTTTTAAAAACCTTTTTAACCTTAATATTCTGAATATTTTTCCCTTTTAAAGAGAAAACAACTCTTCGCAACAAGGTTTAAAATTAAAGCACGATTTGAGCAATGAAACTGTACCTTTTTTTGACAGTTTCTAGTTTAATTGCTTATCGTAAAACACCCTTAAATTATAAAATTTTATACATTCGGTAAGAAATTTGTCATTGATTTAAAAAATCATAAGGAATACATTACAAGGTTAAAGCTGTCTAATACTGATAGTTAACTAATGGAATATATCAACTTAGGTATTATTACACTGTGTAAGTGAAAATTCCGTGATTTTCCTTTATGCATATTAACCTCGCCTGAACTAAAAAACTAAAACCTATTATTAAGTAATGAATATGAAGGTTATTTAATCATTGGGCTTGCTGAAATGTTGCTTTACCGCAATGTCCAATAATTTATGTAACAATGTATGTAGCATCTGATATCCCATTGATAACGTAATAATTCAAGGTCACTTTACTACGAAGTATTGAAAGATTAATTTATATTATTACTAAACAAAGTCGCGGTTTACTCAATGAAGAAGTTTAGTGATAAATTGAATATATTGAAATAGAGTCCATATCGGCTGTACTGCGGCAAACTCAGATGAGCTCACGCATTAAAAATAACGAAATCAAACAGTGCTGTACATTAAGTTTGATTCAGAAACAAAAGAAGCGGTCACTATATTTACCTTAAGAACGGAAACCTCCATACGGTAGTGCAAAACTAAGTGCTATTTTATAAAAAATATATGGAGGTAGGTCATCAAATTTTATTCAGTTTACAAACTAATTATGTGAAACTACTATTATATGTTTGTTTTATCTTCCAACTGAACAACAAAAGCTTTTAGGATCGTAAAATTTAATATTTTTAAACCATAAGATATTACGTACGTAAAAACTCTTACGCTGCAAAGCTTTTCAGTTAACTCTTATGGTGAAGCAGGATCTGTGACTTACCCCATTTTTTTTACTAAAAATATTACGGGAATTCATATTTTGATATAAAAAAAAATGGTGAAAACAATCAATATTTCGGAAACAATTTAACTGAAATAAAATGCTTCTCTCAACCTGTTCAGAAAGGGCAAAAGGAGAAAGAAGCGCTATCCCAGAACAGCACGCTTTGAGAGTATACGTACTAAGGTGTACGTATGCGCGTACTGAGTAGAGATGTAATGTGAGAGTTCTGAAAAGAAATCACGCCCATGTGATCTTCAGGCTGCTGGGGTCAGAATGACTCATTTTCATATATGATACCATAGGAATTGAAAAGAGAATCACGTATATGTGATCACGGTCCAGAACGGGTTAAACTAAATATAAATTAAATTTAGTCATATTGTGCAAATGGATTATTCAGCATCCTCCGCACCTAAAATACGGATTTTCTATTAAACCTTCTTTTAAAAAAATGGAATTGAACGTTCTAATACACTTTCTGGCGTTAAGTATTCGAGTACCAAGTAGTACGGACTCGGACAGTCCTGAGGTTTAGATTTTGCATCGATTAGAGCTTGCACAACCCTGAAGAAACACTATCACATTTTGTTAGGTTGCAATAGAAATAGAAATTTACTGTTGGTTGAAATTATTGAATGAAATCGAACAAAATAATAAAGAATTGAAAATCTCGCTTTCTAACCAGATTGTCACGGTGAAGGGCAATGGATTTGTTTGGGTTAATTGAGAAGACATAATTTCCTGACACGAAATTGCATCTCCAGTGATTTGGTACATTTGCCCGACTATAATTGCATATTTTGTTATTGTATAGAGCCTGTCTCTATCACTCCAATTTTTTTCATTAATTGCAAGAAAATCAGACTCCACCGAGTCAGCCACCACCGAGTCCATCTTCAGAGTAAGGCATTGGCCCATATTGGGCTGTCTGGCCAACTATGATGATGATGATGTCTCTATCACTGCATAAAACTTTTTTTTTTGCTATGAATCTGAGTTTATCCGATACTAAAATGTCAGACACTATCTATCAGAATAATAACGACTGTTACTTTCACAGTCATTTTTGTTTTGTTTTGTTTTGCGAAATCGTTCATCCGCATTTTGCTTTTCCATTGGAAATGAAAAGAGAAAAAAATTATTAATCTCTTTATTCGTCACTTCCATGTCTCTTGAAGCTACATAAAATGTGTGATTTTTTATATTATACTTTATTTATGTAAAATTTAAAAGCAATATATGCTTTGTTTGTTGAAGTTATTAGCAACCTTCGAAAGGAAGGTCCTACGAACAATCTTTGGCGCTTTCCTCGATAACAACAACTGGAGAAAAAGATATAATTTTGAAATATATAAGATCTTTAATAGTGATGATATCATTAAATCTATTGAACTGAGTAGAATGAGATGGGCCGGGCATGTAGTGAGGATGAGCCCAGAACGAGCAGCATTAAGAGTCTTTAATGCAACCCTCTCCAATAAAAGACCAAGAGGAAGGCCCAAAACGAGATAGAAAGACTGTGTGGATGAGGATTTTGCCATCCTAAAAGTAAAGAACTGGAAATCAATTGCTGGGNCATATATACCACTATCAACTATACGGCTAATGACGGGGAAGCAAAGCCTTCCCTCATCATAGTGATGATGTCTCTATCACTGCATAAGACTTTTTTTTTGCTATGAATCTGAGTTTATCCGATACTAAAATATCAGACACTGTCTATCAGGACAACAACGACGATTATTTTTACAGTCATTGTTTGTTTGTTTGTTTGCGAAATTGTCCATCCAGATTTTGCTTTGCCATTGGAAATGAAAAGAAAAAAAAATTATTAATCACTTTATTCCTCACTTCCATCTCTCTTGAAGCTACGCAAAATGTGTGATTTTTTATATTATACTTTATTTCTGTGAAAGTTAAAAACATTATATGTTTTACAATAAAAAGGAAAAATAGTAACATTGTTTTTACACACATCTACAACTTTTTATCATATTTTTAGAAAATAAAATTGATGGTATTTATAACACTTTGACCTTTAATTTACTGGTTTTTGTAACACTTTGACCTGTTAATTATAAGAGATTGCAAAGCTTTTAAAATAAACTCTTGCTACAAGAATATGCTGAAATTATGAATTTTCTATTTTCTTCTTTACCTTAACAGTCAGAAACTATTCAATTATTTATGATCGCAATTCTTTAAAATATACTATTCATAAGGCATCTAGGTAAATCCGACAAAAAATCTAAAATCCCTTGATTATTAAGAAATTATTTCCCACATATTTGGTAAATAAGTATCTCAATACTTCTACACAGCATTTTATAAAGTCAATAATTTATAGCGTGTATATTTTAATATCGAATATTTTTAAGAATGCGCATGTGTTGGTTTAAAAAATGTTTTATTTATGAAAAGTTTATAGTGCGATTCAAATATAAATCATCAATTTCACACGCAAATAAAAATATGATTTACAAGCTTTTGCGAACAGAAATATTACAAATTGTTAATTTCTTCAGTGATAATGTGTTATTAAAGTTAAATTACTTTAATTATTTTTTTTTACTTGACTTTATTTTTTTTGAAAATTTCTGTATGCGTTTTATTTCTGTCATAATGCTGTTTATATAAAGTTGCATAGATTTTAATTAAGAAACAAGTGATTTTAAATAGCTTAGCATACATTAGGTGTATAATAAAATAAACTTTTTAAAATATTTTTTATTTTCCATTAAAGAAATGAATTCATAACATTTCTTCAGAAAGAAAAGTTTTGAAATTTACATTGTATAATGCAACTTTTCGTATGCTTAAAACTCTCTTACATAGAGAAATTTTATAGGTAAACATTAAAATTTATTTACATCAAGTTACTTACTTTATCATCTTTATTTCATTTAACGCAAATTAAAATGCATTAAGTACTTGTAATTTTGTATTTTTTTTAAATCTATGATTAAAAAGCAATGCAGCCTTTACTTGCATTTGATTTCTCTACTAGAGAGAGTTTAACTCAAATCCTCTATAATGACATGAACTAACTAAGTTCTAGTCTAGCGTATATAATATTATAATAAATGTATGCATTTTTTTTTTGCCTTATACATGTAATAATTGTCTTACATTTAAAGCATTCAAATCTTGTTTATTATTATTATCTTTATTACATATTCTTGTCTAACTTAAAATTCCTCCAACAAATCCTTAAAAAGTTTATAAGCCTAGTTAGGCCTAATTAATAAAAAGGTTATGATATTATCTCTGATAATAAACACAGTTATGATTAATAAAAGCTGTTATAATTTTAAAAAAAGTTATAATTAGTACAAGTTGCTATAAACATAAAAAGTTATGATTAATGCGAGTTAAATAAATAAAAAATTATGATTAGCTAATATTTGTAAATAAACGAAAGTTTGTGATTAGAAAACAATGCAACTTTCACTTACATTAAGTTCCTCAGAGATAGAAGATGTCTTGATCCAAATCCTCTATAACAAGATGGACAAAATAAGTTCTAGTGAGGGAAACCAGAAATCGTGACCATCAAATCTCAAGAGCAAAGTTTTTTTGTGAAATGTCGACCAGATTTAAAATTAGATAGATATAAACAACAAAACCATGCCGAAAGGCAGGCTCGTTTTCTTGAGAAACCGGAAGATGAAAAGGGTTGGATCTACCTTTTTGACGTCACGTGGTTGTCAGTCTGAAAAAAAGGGGCATTACTTTTTTTCAGGTGCGTTGTTTAATATCTCCCTATATTACCAACAATTGTCGAAATCTTGATTTTTTCCCTGTATTTTCTAATGATGAAGTAATCAAAATTCATATATGCTATCAATGTCACTGTAATTACACGGTTTTTACGAAATTACAAGTCGTTTTACGACTGATTGACAGATGCATGAATTATTTTTCCTAATAAATTTATTTCCATGATTCCATTTGTTATGGCAATAAAGACTAAATGCAAAAATTAAATGAATTATGTTTTTGATGCATTATGTTACAGATAAAAAGAATTGTATGAAAGTGAAATTTTATTTAGATCAAGCGAGACGGTATATTTTATGTAATAGATATTTTGGAGTTTTTAATAGTATTCCTTAAGTTACCAAAGTAAATTACTTTTGAAGGTTTGCAACAGATTAAGCAAGAAATTTCAATACATTTTTACGTTTAAGTAATTAATTCCTTTTCTTTTTCAAACTTTTTCCTTTGAATGAGCTCTTAAATAAAACATAAGAAACTAAGTTTCGTAGCATATTCCATGTAAGTATAACGTGTAATTGAAAACAACTGTTTTAGAAACACATCACAAACATGCTAATTCTAAGCGCAGCTTACTCAGCTGTATTTCATTATTCAAATAAATATGTTGCCAAGAATTATTCTTTCTTGGTTATTTTTTAGCAAATAAGAACACTGATGGTGGACCTCTACATATATTGCATTTCAGCTAATGAGAAACGTTAATGGATCTGTTCTTTCGTTACATTTCAACCAAGAAATTTGCGGTTTATGGATGTTCCAAGTGCATACACTAATTTGAGAGCAAGTAAGTAACAGACGAAATAAGCAAAACCAAAGACCTGTTAGTTTTAAAATGAATTTTATTACAGTTATCTTTTGAATCTCATTAGTTTAAATCCATGTTACAGCAGTGTTTACCCACCGATTTCCTACTACAACGAATAAAAGCAATGAGATAAGAGAATAGAGATTTAAAAAAATTAGACAAATTTATTCAAAATTGATCTAATTAACTTAGAACAAAACCTATAAAACTGGACAGTCACAACAAAACTAATAAACAAGCTTTAAAGTATTGAATTTTACTTCAGATTTCTACTTATAAAGTATTAATAATCTTAAAAGGATGAATAGAATTAATTTTAAAAGTAACAGACTGAGTTCAGTGAACAAAATGTTCCACTCTATAGAACAGAGACTGAAACTCTATTTTTAAAATTGAGAAAAAAAATAGAGACACTGTTTGTATTAGTATTTTATTTGTTGGCTGTACGTACTTTAGTTTTACTTTTTTAATTGTTCCGAACTTTTAAAATAAATTAAATGTTAACGAAGAATTTTTCATTTTTCATTTCTCCTTTGGATTTTACTATTACCCGAAAATCATTCTTCCTGATTTTCGATGATCATTCTTTTGTCGAAAGTTCTTATGGTCATTTATTTCTAAAACCAAGAATGTATGATAGTTTCCCATTAAATACTCTGATCACTTCCCCCCCCCCTAATAATATACAGCATATGGAGAAAGATACAATCTAAAAATTCTGCATTAGGAACACCATGATGGCAACGATAACATGTAATTACAATTACAAAAATTACATAGCAAATTAAAATTTCAAAATCATAAAGTGACAAATTAAATAAAGTTGAGTAAAATCAAATATTACACCAGATAATAAACAGTTAAAAGTTACGCGTACTAAGATAAAACTAAACCCTAAAATTGTAAATATAAAATCGCAAAAAAATATTCAATTTAGATATTGCTAATTTTAATGTTTGTGCAATCAGTTTTTACTAATAAATTAAGATCAAGACAGTGACGAATTTTAAGTCCTTATATGGAACTGAGTATTTGCGGCATAGAAAGGATAAACATTTCTAAAGGCATCCTTCTGAATGAATTCAATACTGAAATTAAAAAAGGTAGAGGGTTTTGACATCTACTTATCATTACTGTATGGTACCTGAAAGGTATTTTGTTTTGACATCTGAAGCCTATTTTGTTTAATATAGGAAATTCTAAAAATATCAATCGGATAGAATTATAAAAATTCTTTATATTTTTCTCCAGGAAAATATGTTTTGGGCTTTACTATTGCCTAGAACATTTGCAACTTTGATTGCACTTATTTTTTATCTAAACAGCTTATCATGAATCTCAATTTTTCTCTGACTTCTGTTTATTTTATGCAACATCACTTCAAATTTCAGAAATTTTCACGTTGGTAGGTTGTTCAATAGGTTTTATTCTTAAATCAAAAATTAATCTCAAAACTATCATATGATGATGACACGCAAAGTAAAAGATACCTTTCTCAAGTAATTTATTTATTTTTTATTTTATAACCGTCGATAGACAGCCGATCTAAAATTTGGGTTTACTACGACCAATGTTTAAGTCTGTAATTAAAGTAATGTATTTTGAACCTAATCCAGAAGACAAGGAATTTCTGAATCTAGCATTGGGAGAAATTTGCTTTCGTGGATGACTTTTTGAGAGAACTAACCCGCATTGAGAGAAAAAAAAACACAAAACCCTGCCACGGTTAGCCTGGCGGCAAGGGAACTCTAACCCATGATCCGCATACCACTGAGGATAATTTACGTCAGCACTGTGGCTGATGTTATCAGGGTGCAGAACTCGTGTCGACAAGCCATCTCTAAGATTCGAACCCAATTCACCTCATTGGAAGGCGAACTATTTATCCCCTGAGCGACCACGGATCTTTTCATATAATTGCAATAAAAACAGAAATGCTTTACCAGTTGTCAGACTCGAAACAGTAGTGACCAAGTAGCATTAGTACTGTACTTCTAGCCTTATTATTGTACTTCATTAACGTCCGCTTTGTCCAACCACGAGCAAAGCATATATAGGTTGAAACGAAAATATTCCGGTAAGTCCTTATGAATAAATTTTCCAAAAGTTATGTAATGGAGAAGGGCAGAATGGGAAAAGCTTCTGAGGAAGGCCCAGGCTCCCAAAGGGTTATCGTGCCAATGCTGATGATGATGTAATAATTATTATATGAAGGTCACTCCACTCCTGGCAAAGATTTTAAAGTTTAACAATGGAATTTTTCATTTACTTTGTGGGTATATTTGTGGGTATCTATCCTCAATGAATATATTGGATTCTGTAAGTGATAAAGTTATTTGTAATGAAGCGATGATTTTTTGAAGAGCAAATATTTTAAATGGCGTCTACGTTTAAATTTTCTTAAAAGTTGACGAATCAGTTATATATGATATTGTGTAAAGAGTACTTAAAACAGTGCTTTATAAGCACAAATTTATTCTTAATATTTGTTCTATTTGTATTGATTAATGCTTACTCAATTCGATTTTTTTACTTACTTTTTAATGTAAATAGACCAACTTATAGTAAGTTTGTACCCATTTTAAAAGAGCTATAGAAAAGAGTGTCTGAAACCAAAAATTAAATTGATACGACAGGGAATGAAATATGAGCTATTGAAATCTATATTTTAATACTTATGCTTTGCTTGCTAAAAAAGGAATATTGAGAACATTCACGGAATTATGAACCGCTTAAGTAATTCCATAAATATTAAAATGTGAGCATCTTTAAAATTCTTTCAATAGAAAAATGTGCTATAATATTATTGCTACTGCAATAATATTGAATAAAAACATTTATAAGGAAAACACAAGATCTAGAAAAAATTATTATATTATTTATAATAGCAGAAATTTTCCTGTGTTTCATTGCTATTTTGTCATTCTAAAACTTTTATTTAAGATATTATTTCTTAGAGCATCTTGGCCTTGGTTTTAATATTATCTTGGCATTATCAAGCAACAACAAGTTGAAAACAAATCTCAATTTCAGAATTAATTAAAAAAATGCTTGTTTTGCAAACATTTCGATTTATTATTCTAATCTTATACCATAAATGAATTTAAATGACCGTGAAAAAAAAGTGATTAGGCTTATGAGCAATATTTTTCTAAGTTCCACAGTGTACTGAACTTTAATGAGCTCTAAATTTTAATAATTGGCCAAAAAAATAAATATCCGTTCTTCCGAATTTTAAAAATCAAATACGGCTTGTAAAAACATTATTTAAATCAAATCTTTTCGCGAAATCTTGACTTCAAACGAATTCCACAAAGGGAGTAATTGCTTTTATTCTTTAAAGCAAACAGTGTTATCATCTACTGACACGTTTTTTTAATTTGCTTTAATATAAATTTAAAAGAAATGTTATTAATATAAAAAATTCTAAATATTTTCAATTATTACCAAATTCCTCTTAAATGATATATTTAATGTTAAAATATCAAAACTGAAAAGTTCAAAAGCATAAAATTTTAATTAAATATTTTTTTCTAATTTTCCAGAATATAAGAAATGCGAAAAATAGGTGATTAAGAGTTAATGATGCAAAGTGTGTGATTTCATATTGGTATTAATTAACATAAATTAATTCAATATTATACAAAGTGCATTCATTGGCTTACATACTGTTTAAATCATATAAATCATATTTTCAATTTTATGTGGAAAAAAGGTCAAGTTTAGCATACACCTAAAGAAAAAAATTTATTAAAATGTTAATGGAAAAAAACTGTAAACTACAAACTTTGAATTTAAAGGCTCCCTAATTACAAATATATTTTTTCTTATGACTAAATTCTATACTTATTTCAAATTACGCTATTTTAATTGGTAAATTAATTTCAGCCTTTTATGAATTTGTCTTTATTTAAGAATTGTTAAAAATACCTCCATTTCTTGTTAAATGCCTTATAGGCCTCTAATTCTTATCATGACAAAGTTCTCGTTAAAAAAACAATTATACCAAGTCCTTTAATAATTTGGAAAACTTTGTAAGTGAACGCAAATTTTGAGAATTTAGAAAAAAAAA